CCTTTATCCTGAGTAAAAATTACTCGTCCACAGTTATTTCAATGTCGACAGCTCGGGAATCGTAGGCTGGCGATTTTTCAGTGGATAAATTCTCAACTGACGTGAAAAAAACCCTGCTGCAAATATCTACAAATGAATGTTTTAAAAATACCCCCAACGGATCGACGTTTTCACGATCTCGTCGACACAAGGACACTCCGCGCAGCACAAAAAAAAAAGAAAACAGTCACGCTTCAAGCGGACCGAAAAAATTAAAATTCAAAAAAAGATGTTTTTGTAGGAGAATCACGAGGATTGATCTTCCGCCGGTCGTGTGACTGGTGAGATCTCGTCAATCTTGCGCTTCTTCAATAAGGAATTGTCAAACCCAGGCACAGAGGCGACGCGTGGGATGGCGATCGAAAAGCCCCGCTTCTTTCGCGAGCCGTCGTCCGATCCAAGGGCATCTCCGTTCTCGCCGCCAAGTTTAGACGTCTCTGGCGCAGCGGGGCCCTCGGAGACGGTCTTGACGCCGGCGACTTCCGTTCCAGCGGGTCCGTTTTCCTCCTTGCGTACATTGGATACTTCATTTATCCGACGAACAGCTACGGGTGTTGAAAGAAGAAAAATATTCCGGATTAGGCGACCATTATTAAAAAAAAATTGAATCAAATTAAATAGATGTGAAAAAAACGTTTCCATGCGCTGAACACGGGCAAATAACCGTTCCTGAGATTTTTCTCAGTGATTTTTATTTTTTAAGCTTTATCTTCACATTCTTCAGAGCGTTTGCAGCTATTCGCTTGGAACCCGTATTTAAAAAAGTGAATTATCTGAATTCGTCCCATTTTTCAACTGAGAGCTCCAACCGTTCGGGGGAAATCGTTCAGTTTCTTTTTTTTCCCCACTCTGCGAAGTGAGGTCACAACGAGCCTGAAAATGGAGCTTCGGCAGATCAGTTTTCGTCGTGAAATGACTAAACGTTGAGCCGAATGCAAACCGCACAAAAATCGGCAAAGAATAAACCAAAACGTGTAATTTTTTTCTCCAGAATATATAAGAAGCGGATCACGGGCATGTCAGTTGAAGCAAACAAAAATATCTGAACTCGATAGTTTATGACGGATAAAACACGAACGTGATAAAACTTTTTTTTAAATGCATAAATAAGCGAAAAGAGAAGAACCCTGATTTTTCAAAGAAAACTATAGATCAAAAATTTACGAGAAGAAAAACGCTCCGTCAAACCTCTTCAAATCGAACTTCAAGTGACCAACAAAAAACTTGAGTAGGTTTTGAGCTTCGGAAGTAAGCTCTTCTGCTGGAGGAAATAACGAAGAGTTATAAGAAATCATAATTAGTGATATTCTAGGCCTTAAATTGCTTTTTAAATGAGCTGAGAGGATGCTGAACTGACAAGGGTATACTGTAGTCGCCTGATTAGTCCTCCAATTCCTTTGAAAACGCAGAAAGTTTGATTTTTCTCCATTTTTCTCGTTCCTCTGTCAATAAAATAATATCCACAAGGGCTTCAGAAAGTTCTAGTTATGGCAGTTTGAGGGGAAACGCGTTTGAGTTATGGATTTCGGTTTTTCTCTGAGGGAATGGGCTAACTAAAAATTCGAATTCCGGAGGTTCGAGTCATTCAGGTTCAACTGTGTTTGAAGAAAGAAATAAAGAAATTCGCGTCAATGGAAACCAAAAAATCGAACTCGAGAAAAATTTAATAAACCTGGCGACATATTTTTCAAAAAGATATTTTAATTCAACATCGAGGTCGCAATCTAAATCATCAATAAGATCTTTCCGATTTAATTACGCTGTTATAAAAAAATTACTACAATTAATGAAATTATTGAGCCAATGCGAACCATCAAAACTAAAACAGAAGAAAAATTTTAAAAATTTAAGCTAAAATTACTAGAATAACACTTTTAAATGCTATTCAAGCAGAGTGCGTCGCGCAAGAAGTTGCAAACCGAAAGTCCATAATAGCAAGACTCACTTTCAAATTGATCGCAATCAAATTCCAGCTTCGGCAAAATGCCCAAAACGTTCGGATTCGACTCCTCAGTCAGTCGCAGGAACAACTCGGCAATATCCCTTCGTTTCCTCCGCATGAGTTCCGCAGAGAACCAGTTTTCTAATCGTTTCAACGGCAATCGAAAGTCCGTCACTTTCGCATCGCCGCAGAAAAAGCTTTCAACGTATTGAAGCAAGTAAACTCCGCAATCGCTAAAATTATCCTGCTGCGGACAGCGAACGCAATAGCCGCGAATCGTATTCTTATCAAACACCCGTTTCTCATCGTCCCCGTGTTTCCGCTTCCATTCCACTGCCAGATAGTCCCTGAGAGTTGCTACGATTCTAGAGGGATTCTTGCTACTCGTCCGCAACGAGTCGAATATTAAGATGCATGGTCTGCAAAAAAGAAACCCGTGAAATTTGGCAAACTGCGTCCAGTGCACTAAAAACAATTACTCACTGATGAATTGACTCTAATACTTCATCCTCCGGGGCTTCTTTCTTGACATCATCCTCCTCCTGAAATGAAAAGAAAGACGTCAGGGAAGTAACAAAAGAAATTTTCATCGAAATCGTTTCAACACAGATTAATCCTTGTCCATTCATTCCCGGAATGCTTGACAGGTGTCGCACGAATCTGACGAATATACTGTATCTTCAAACCCTCACTTAAAATCGCGCGAAAGATGAAAAAAAAACCCCCCTGACAGGTGTCTTAGAAAAGCATGCAGTCGGGGACGTCAAGCATCCAAATGAAAATAACCTAAGAATTACATGGAATCTTGAATCATTTTTACAACTTCGTTTATGGTTCCGAATTGAGGAAGTCAATATCAAACCCTACATAAACCCTTTCATAAAAACAGTATATTCAAACAATTTCCCCAAAGCAAGTCTCAGCGTTTTATGTTCTGACTAAAAATAAAAATACAGTAATATTCAGAACAGTACTAAGACACCTGACGCGAGTTGAGACAACACATTTTAGATGACCGGGAAATTTTATTTCTTGGCTCTTGAAATAGGCGATACTCCAAATCACCTAACATTAAATTACATGACATCTTCGCTTCAATGAGGGTAAAAACTAAGAATTTACAAGCGTACCGTATCTAACAACTTCTTCAATTGTAAATGGGGTTGGGGCACGGTGATTGAGCTCATACAATAAAATTCGGTACAAACAAATATTGTACTGGGGCCCCGACATGCGGACATAATTGGTGCTTGGACTTCGTCCATATACTGAATTTACCAAAACATTATATTTTTGTGAGTATAAAAAGCTCAATTTCTTCAAAAGAAATCAAAATTTCGAAAAATACAATTTTCCAATTGTCTAGAAACGTTGGTAAAGTGCCCGTATCTCAAGATTATGTCCGAATGTCGGGGCATACGTTTTAGTTAAGGTAAGTGCCCATAAGTCGAATCATCCGTAAGTCGAGGCAACGCCATGTCAGGAACCCACTGTAAAGTACTTGTTCAGTAAAAGAAGTAATTGTTCACCACGAATTTGTTTTCTTTTTTAGGTCTCTATACCAAATAGACCCAACCACACTAAAATAAGTTTACTGTACAGTATAACGAATTTTTGCTTTCAACGACTCTCTATTCCTGATCACAAAGGGTTCTCTGCAAGGAGACTTCACTGCTCTTCTATGCAGAGAGCTCTTAGAAAGAGAGGAAGTAAGAGAGAGGGAGGGAGGGATAGAGTGAGAGAGATAGAAAGATTGACTTGTTTTCCAAAACCATCCTGCTTAAAAACTTACATTAGAAGTCTCGTTTCCTTCTTCGTTTTCGCCCTTGTCGGCGGAATCACGCTCCATCGGACCTGTTGGGCCAAAGTGGTCGTCTTCGTACTCCGAGTCGAGCTCTTCATCATCACCTTCAGCCTCGTCACGATCAGAGCTTTCGTCCAATTCCGTCTCCCTTTTCAAGGTGGATGTGAGAACGTTCAGATTTGCGAGGCTTATTCCATTTCCTGAAGGGGTGCCAGATGAGGTTGTCACTGACAAACCAGGGATGCCAGCGGAGCTGCTGCTGTTTTCTGAAATTCGTGTGGAGAAGGGGACAAGTTTTTAAACGACACTCAAAACAGAGGCACATCAAACGCAAGTACACGAATATTTGCATGTGATGTAATAATCACTAAGGTGTGAATTGATGAATTTTATGCGCAGCGAAAATAACTGCAAAATGCGTTATTCGCACTCGAGATACATCAAGAGTACCCAAAGTTTAAACACATTTATCACAAGATAAATGTCCAAAATAACGTGAAAATGACGTACAGTAATTTATATCCATGTACTGTATATTACATAAAATAACAGAATACTTTTCATGTAAATTTGCTTTAATACAATTTTCTGCGATTCTCACCGCGATTTTTCACGCATTTATATAAGAAAATGCTGTAAATTATAACTGAACAGAGATAAAATTTTCGCACGGTTTTTATAAAACGAGGAAGGATGGTCCTCAATACCTCCGAAATTCACTCCAAAGGTAATTTCCTATAATTACCTTTTTAGTATTGAAATTGAGCATGATTTCTCTGATTCACACTGTTACAAGAACTTTCTTCCCATCACACGTTGTCCAATGTTGGTGCTAAAAGGCAGGAAAACAACATTTTCCGGCGAGTATGACATTTGCCAGTACTGCTCAGATATGTGGTAAATTAGAATAATTAGATGACTGCCTCCAAGCTTTTAAAATAGTGCTTTGATGTTTCGAGTTCATACTGACTGTATCGAAAGAAGTGCGCCTAAAATAATTCTAAACCGATGCGATGTTCACCAAATAAAAAAATATAATGTATTTAAAAAAGCACGAAAAAAAATTTCGCACTTTCCGAAAGAAACGATGTGGAACTCACCCTCGGAACTCGCAAGGCCAGTTTTCACGGGCGTTATCGTGGTCGATCCTACATTAAAACTCTTCCTGCCAGCCTCAACCTCACTCGCCTTTGCATCAGCTTCCTTCTCCGGTTTCGCTTCATCGACTTCAAGAAATACAGACAAACGTAAAAAAAAACTTAAAAATTATAAACAATCTGCTTAAATATACCAGGCGCAGTCTTCTTGACCGGCTTCGCCCTCGGCGATACAGGAACTCCATCCCTCGCTCTCACAGGGCCACCGAGCCCCGGAAAACAAATAATCGCAAGAAACCAATGCGAGCTGATGAGAAAGAATTGAAGACAAACAATGTTAAATATCCATGGGAGAACAGACAAAAAGATCATCATCAACTCACTGTTCATTGATGGGAATCACAATATGCTTTTGTTTGAATAAATCCACGTTCTTCGTCCACTGCTTCACGCGCTCGTGCCGCATTTCAGCGGGCCTTCAAAATTCACTCTCACGTCAAGCACAACCACAAAAACGATCAATTAATCAATCAACTACTCACGTCGCAGAATCACCTGCCCTCGAAGCATTCTTTGGCTGCTTCATGGTCAACTTGTTGTAGAAATACGTGGAGAAAACGAATATCTTGTCACGCTCTTCGAGGGGAACCATTTCGTTCACGATATACCTATAAAAAAAAACGCATCACGAACGCGAGAACAAATTTTAGAACAAAATTCGCTCATTCAGCTTCAACAACTCACTTCAGATAGAAATCAATCACGGAATCGTTGAGGAAACTTTCTTCCTCCAGAGTCTTGTAATCTTCGAGGTTCATTTCAATCGACGACGTTTGCGACCTGCATTTCCCGGTTGTCTTCGGTTTGTAGGTGAAAAGTCTATGCATGAAAATCAAGAGAATACAGAAACATTTTCAACTGCGAACATACTTTTACCATACATAAGCAGGAAGTCCGATATGCATATGCTACATTGACAAAAAGAATTCAATCTCAAGCGCGATATTATTTTCAAAGAAAGAACCTGAAACCAATCGATGAAGTATACGGTAACTTCAACGAAACAATTTATTTCCTCAGTTCTAAGCAGACTATAAATACAGAACTCTACGTTTATACAAATAGGATACATTTTCCAACATGGAAGGTTGAAATAAACGTCCTGAATGAATGTTTCTCATCGTAACAGTAGCACATTACTCACTTGACTGGCGCAGAATTATCCTGGCCTCTGGCAAGAATGGATGCATTTCGTGGCGGTTGTTTCCGAGTAGCTTCACCAGTCAACACGAGTTTGCTGGGCAATAATTCGGTTGTGCACACCTCATCGTTATCGACGTCGACAATCTGCTGCTTAGCTTTCACGAACTGCAAATGACATCAGTAATTCAGCGACATTTCTGCACAGAGTGATCGTTCTTTCGAATCGTTCGTCACTACTAGTCAGAAACTATCTTCCCCAGATCTAGAAGTACTTTTTAGCCAAAAAAAAGCACTGGGCATTCCTTCAAGGAAAAATGTTTTTTTTTCGAGCCTAATTAGTACAGTTCAATCCAATTTTTTCAAACTGCAAAACCTTTAAATGCTGTAAACTTATTTTCCAGATTAAAACCCTCATCTGCTCATGACACCGAAAGAGGAAAAACAGACAATCCAAATATCTCACACGCTAAATCAAAATTTCAATTTACTCTTTACCGACGCGTCACTTTATAAGAATATCGTTAATATGTTGGTAGGTATAATATCAGAAGAGATGCACGAAATTATTGCAAGAGCACTTTTTTGAAAACGCCTTTTTTCAGACAACGGCGCATGGAAGATTAATGCAAAAAATTGCCCATTCTTCGAATATTCCTTTTTTTCGGAATCAGCGAGCTAAAGACTGCAAATTCAACCTAACTGTATCAGATTTTCAATATACGCTTCCCAGATAAAAAATAACGACAGAAATGGCGTACTGTACCTCATTTTTCGCACAACGGCGCAGAATATCTTCACACTTCTCCCGACTGATGATACGATAAAGCACGGCATTATTCGGTTTGAACGGCTCCCAAATACCAGCAATCCGGTCGATTAATTCTCGATTGATTGCTGTGGGGTCAAGAAAGAGAAGAATTCTCTTCCGCGTATCATCTGTTGAAAATTTCAAAAGTCAGAAGTTTAATTCCCTCTTTTGAGCAATATTGATTCAGATGGAAAAAAAATGAGTTGAATACATCAAATGACGGCGAAGTTCAGATGATATCAATTAAGTAGCCCAGAAAATCCCGGAACTCGAGACAATTGCCGAGGATTTACAAAAGGCAAAAACAATTTTGGACTCACTGCGAACACTGAATACAGTAAAATCTCACTACAGCAAATTTTTACATTTTTTTCAAGTCCCGACAAAATGCTCATACAGTATATTTTAAAACAATCTCGTCAGTCGTCACAACGAAATTTTTTGGGGAACGTTGAAAAGATTCCCCAGGCAGAAATTTCCTGACCAAGGCAGGCATAATCTATAATTTCTAATCCCAAATGTCACTGCTCGGTTCTTGTAGCATGGATGGAAGCTTCAATCAATGATAAACATGCTTTCAAATGGTTCCTCATATCATCTTCCCTGAATGAGAAGATAATTTTAACTGATGGAATGCATGAATAGAGCTCATTATATTTAAAAGATCACCCAGTTTTTCAAACAATAATAAAAAATCTGAAAATGCCAGAAAATTAAGATGCAATTAATTTTTCGCAGGTCTGATGTGCACATTTTTTCCAGTCATCAATCTGGAAAATCTTGATAAAGGTGGACTATACAAAAAAATCCAGGGACTAGGAAAAAATGTGTTTTAGAAAGAATTTCGTTGCAGAGAACTACTATAACACGGGGACGGGACCCTATGAGACCAAATAAAAATTCATTACACAGAAAAATGCGCTGTGGACAAGATCGTCGTATAGAGAGTCCACCTGTACAAAAAATTATTCATTAGAGTAAAACAAACGATTCCTGAAGTCCCCAAAAAGTTTATTGTAATGAGATTTTACTGCACTCGCTTCATCACTCAACGAGAAAAGGTACCTCATCAACGAAGGAAAAAGACAACGGGAATCAAACCTTTCGACGTGGGACAAAAGAACGGGATCCCGGAAGATACCACTTCCGTCGCTGCCATGTTCAACTGAGCCCGTATCGACCGCGCCATGTCTTTCCCAGTGTACAAAATAATCAACGGAGTTCCACCGGTAGTAGCAAAATATGCCCATACACCAACGAGCTTCGAGTTCTCCAGAAACAATTCGACGGGCGCCACGGGTTCCGCCGTGGACCGCCGCAGCGGCGTCACACAGAGCCGCAAACCTCGACTGGACAACAACACGGACGAGTTCGGCTTTTCTCGGTAACTGCCGATACGCAGCATGGTACAATGAATCTCCAACTCGTCATCCATGTCTTCGTCGCTAATGTCCATATCGTCGCTGATGGGAGGGGGATTTCGATTCCCATCGCTGCCTGGGTTCGAAGAGTCTTTTTCGCTGCCTGAAAATAACAATTTATCGTGAAAACGTGATCATCACTGTGATTCTGTGAATGCTGCTGCTGTTGCTGAAGACAGCTGAGAACCTCTGGAGCAGGTGAGGCCAGAAATTGGGAAAAATTCTATCCAAATCCAAGCATCATCCAAAAAGTATACAAGTACTGTACAATACATCCGTACTTATTTGAGTGCCGTACCATGCGCAACTTTTGTCGAAACTAAGACGAAAAAAAAAGAGGGTGCGCGTCATACGCGGATATAAAATGTTTCCAAATTTTAGAACCTTTGGTACGCAACATACTAGCCTCTAACAAGGAATTTCTCACCAGTTTCTACCGTTTTAAATGCGGAACCATGCAAAATTAATATTTACTTTTGCTAAAAATCAAGCCAAAACATAAATTCTCATTCGTTCTACTTTCAAAATGCCAAAAATTTCATTGGCCAAAAATGGGGTGTGCGTCTTATTCGAGGAAACATTTTCATTCAAATTTTGAAAACAGAAAACTAGGTGTGAAAGACACGTGGTAGTCAATTAAATACGGCACAGCACAGAGTATAGAATTTTGAAGTTTGCCAATTTGCCTAGAAATCATTCCTGATGCATTTTCCTGCATTTAAAATTTGTGGAATTCAAAAAGTTATGCGCAAGCATAGTCAGGATTCCTTCAATTTTATACCAATCAATATTGAATTCACGTTTTTCTGTTGAAAAATACACAAATTACATGCTTCAACATGATTTTTGTGTGTGCGTCTGGAACGACTTAAATTAATTACTGTATAGACAAACCTCTTTGTCGAATTTCAAGGGACCAGCCCGAGTTAGGGAAACAAGCATTTTTCTCGGGGGAAAGGAAAAATAATTACATGACTCTGAAAATGATGATATTCTGGGCCTTAAATTGATTCTTAAATGAGTTGACAGGATGCTGAACTTGGGAGACAAGGGTTCATCTGCCCAATTAGTTTCTAACTTCCTTTCCAAACATTAGGTTACATTTTTATTGATTTTCTTTTCCCTTTGCCGATAAAATATAAGCCGAAATGCCTCCAGGAGGTTTGAAGGGGGAAAGCCTTCGAGTTAGGGAGGTTCTTAATACATTGTTTCCACAGAAATTCAAAAAGAGGCTTGAAAAAAACTTCGGGCATGGGGAGGCATTCGACTGTAAAATGTAATAAGGAAAAAAGCGTTTCGCACAACAAAATTTCAGCAAAACGAAACGCATCCAAACACGAAGTATTTTCATCACGCGGGGACACACTGTACATTCCAACAAACAAATAAAATCGCCACTCACCCTCGGGCATTTCCGGGCGATCGCTGTTGCCGTTCCCATTCTTTGCCGGTCGCTCGTCATTCGGAGGCCTTTGCCCACTTTTACCCTCCGTTTCCATGGCGTCCATGGGCTCGGGCATGTCGTCCACGTCACCTCCTACGTTCTGGTTCAAACAAACATACAAGGCTCCGTCCAGTAGCCAATTCTTCACCAGCTTCCCTGGCGGCAAAGGATCCGCCTTGTACGACAATGTTCTCTTCACGGGACTCGGTTCCCCGACGGCCGGCGTTTCTTGGAACTTCTCCTCCTGCAGAGCTTCTTCTTGAAGAGTCTTCTGCGCGTCTTGGGGAGCGGCTTCTTTGGGCGGCTGTGGTCTCTCGAGTTCACCTTCTTCGTCCGATGAAAGAGTCAAGCACTCTGTTTTGTCATATTCGAAAGGGAGAAATCGCACACAAACCAAAAGAGAGGTCAAAAATACATCACTTCTTTTGAATCCCGAACTAACGCTAAAAAAAATAGGAAATGCCCAGATTGACCAACTTCCAACAAACGTGAAAAATTCCGATGGCGTTCCCCCAATTTGGGCAGATTCTTTTCTCATGTTTTAAGCACAAAACGAACCAAATTAAAATTTTTTAACTTGAATTGAACCCGAATTTCATTAATTTTCCATTATTTTCATTCCATTTAAAATAATTTTGTTGCTGAAAGTTAATCAAAAATGTTACATGGTAATCAATTATTAAGACGACCTGAAATTTAAGAAAATTTCATACCAGCTTGTGACACGCACCCTCCCTCGTCCCACTCAATTTTGAAAAGGTGCACGTTGAACTCGAAATACAGTAAAATCCCATCACAACAAACTTTCAACCTGAGAAAAACTTTTTATACTGAATAATTTTTTTCGAATAGATTTTCAACATAAATTACTTGAAAATGTTTCAAGTTAGACCTGCATATACAGTATACGTAAAACAGCATATTGCTTTTCTGTATATTTTAGGTGATTTGATATTGTTTGACAAACACAGAAATACTGTACTGCATTAGTTCTGCACAACATAAAGTTAAGAAGTTGACATTGTCTGAAGTGAAAGTGCGTTGACACCCGGACGGGACAGTTGCAACCGGGAAGAACCGAAATTTGAATGTTAAAGAAAGGTTAATTTTCAATGCAGACACGAGATGTGTCACCTCGACAAACCTTGTAAACTGATCGAAGAAAGTTGGTCAATCCGGACCCTCAACTACGACACACATACACACAAGGCAAAATAGCAAAGAAAACAAAAGCTGGAAAATCTATTTTTCCTCCGAATCTCAACAAGGAAAGACATGCTCCGTATAGTGATACCCTCCTCGGGGAGATCACCGAATGACTGACCAGGCTCGTCTGGCTTCCTTGCACGCTTCACAATCCGTAACTTGCGCAGTTCATCCGTTTTCGACGGCGCCTGGGACGCTGTCGGGTCGGACACCTCTTTCACATCCGCCGGCAGCTTCCGGGAACAGCGCGAACAACGGTTGAAGCTCGGCGACAGGAACCCGCAGTTCATGCACACAGCCAGCTTCCCTGGTTTCGTCAATGGCTGGAAACATTCGAAGGATACTCTATATCAGTGATCTGCAACCCGTTTTGCCAGTCCGTTGAAAATTTTCTTCCGCATAATAAATTTATAAGAAGTGGAGATGAAGTCTTATCTTGATCTGCAAATTCGGCTAGATGGCAGTAGAAATTATCTGATGACAAATAAAAATTGGCTTTTCTCCTAACAAAAATTCAAGCATATGTTTCACCCGCTAAAATCAATTATTTAATGTATTCATTCTGAAAAAACTTCCGTGAAGCCCAGCTTTCTTAAATTTTCAAATACAGTACATTCCAACATAGCTGCTTCATTCGTTCTCAATTTAATTTTTGCAAAAAATGTATTGTTAGAAGAACTTTCCGGCAGGTATTTAAATTAGTGTCGGTCGATTTGGTCCAAGTTCAGCTAGAACATGTTATTTCAAGTGACATACAATCTTTAAGGCAAAACTAAAAGAAGTTACTGTACTCGGAGTTCTTCCAGGGATTGTAATGAAGCTACTTCCTGCATGACACTTCGAAATCACGATCATGCGGTAAAATGAAATCAGAAAAATGCAGTAAAGTCTCACAAAAAATGTAAAAGGAAAATCCATTAATACAGGAGTGTTCATTAGATTAAATGCGCCTATGCAGTAAATGCAATCCAATTTAGGCAGAGGATAGCTTACTTTGACATCAGTTTCCGTCTCCTCAGGAACTTTTGGGGCATTTGTAGGAAGGACCACAGCAGCTTTCGGCAGGAATGCCAGTTCGAATTCCCTACGGAAAAATCATGCCATACAGTACTTCAGCTTGAAAATCCTGCAAAGGTGCAAAATCAACGGAAATATTATGGAAGGGGATCCGGAATCAATAAAAGTGTCAAATTCAATCGGAATTAGCGCGCGGTTTCTCACGCCAACTTATAGATCATCAATCAAAAAGACTTTACTTCTGACCATTTATATCAAGAATCACGATTCATTGGTTTCTCAAACGTCTCAAGCAGTGCAGACGAACCTCTTCAAGTCGAACTTCAAGGGGCCAGAAAAAAAATAGTCAAGATAGGGAGGATTCGAGTTAAGCAAACAAGCCTCTACGTCGGGGAAAAGAGAGTAGAATTACAGGAAATTGTAATTGGTGATATTCTGGGTCTCAAATCACTTTTTAAATGAGTTTACAGGGTGCTGAACTTCGTGGCAAGGGTTCATATGCCCATTTAGNACTTTCACTTTCTTTCAAAATACATCACTTCAATTTGTATTTCTATTATCTTTCCTGTATCACTAAAATAATGGCCCAAATGCCTCCAGAAAATGTGAAGGGGGGAGATTTGAGGGGGAAAACTTTTGAGTAAAGGGAGTTTTTCCTTGACTTCAAAAGGAATTCAGAAAAAAAACTGTAGGGAGGTTCGAGTTATCGAGGTTCAACTGTATAAGCTCGTAAATTCAACGCGCACAAATCCTTTCACCTAGTTTTATATTTTTCGATACTCGCACTTTTTACAGGAAACCTCAACCATGAAAAGCAACGAAATAAATACAGTACTCTCGTTAAGTCTCAACTTCGAAACACGGGAGATCGTTGTCACACGAAAAGGCGACATCTACTTGAGGAAAACCGAAATTTTCCACCACCATCTGAGTGGATATCGTTGGAAGGACAAAACGGTATATTCGGCAAAAGCACAATTACGTTTTCCTCGCGCAGATTTTCACTCGAGTACGAATCTTTCGCAAGTTCTCTGATACATTACGAAGGTAAACTATATCCCCAAAAAATATGCGTTCCACACTAAATCTCACGACTTTAACGAGGACTAACATTTGCATGGACGACGACGGAGCAGACCCAGCAGGTTTCGGCGGCGGCTGGACAACTTTCCCATTTCGTATTTCCACTCGGTAGTTTGCCACGGTCATTTCTTCGGCGTCGCTGCGCTGCCGGAAGCAGTTGATGAGCTGCGTGTCCGTTAGATTGGCAGCAGCAGGAGTAGCAGCACCTCCTTCGGCGCCACAGTGACGCACGACAATAAGCGAATAAGCGTCGGGGTCATTGCATTTCAGGGGAACTCGTGTTCCGTCGGGGAACATCAAAGTGGGGACCGTGCACTCGACAGGCTTTTCCTCCAGCTTCATCATCCTGCAAATTGAAAAGTGACACGACACGTTGTGAAAAAACCCCGGAAAAGGTCCAGGAAACCAAACAAGTTTACTATGAATTTGCTACACTGCCTTTCAGCATGTTGCCTTCAGACGCACCAACATCTTTGACGGAGACGTGAAGTATACGAATAAGAGGGTATGATTGAAATTTGAAATTCATTTCAGATTACCCGCAGCTAATTTCGGGCAAATAAAGATTATGAAGTAGACAAGCCAAATTAGAATAGCCGAGATTTGATCAGGCAGCATTTGCTTGAAATTCCAAAAAAATTAAAATAAAATCGTCAGACGTAAGACAAAATTACTCAATAAAATAAAAAACAGTATTTTGGTCCTGTGCACTTCTCTTCAACGATTCGAAATGAAAATTGCACGACTGCTTCGCAAAAAAAAAAGCCAAAACCTCCGAAAATAAACCAAATACTGTAGTACAACTCAATAGTCTAACATTGAACATACCCGTCGACTTTTTAGAACACTCGGAGCTGCTTCGACTAAAGACATACGCCAAAATTCGCAAAAATCATCTACAGTATTTATATGCTACCAATGCATCGTATCATTCGCAGAAATTTTAATGCGCGAGTAGATTTATCGGCGACCGGGAAGAATTAACTAGAATTATTGATGGAAATATCATTTCTTCATGATGCGGAATTCTAGCATTTCCGACTTCATTATTCCCTAAATCCTGAAAAAAAAGGATTTCCACGTCGTTTCTAGGCAAAAAACTCCTCTAAGTCCAGAAAAAATGAATGAACAAAAACGTAGTACTCACTGCGCGTTCTGAGCAGGACTCAGGCTGTGCGTCCCGACAGCATTCACTGCACCCGGAGCATTCGCCACGCATTGTGCGGATTGAACAGTGGGCAACGAATTGAATACAATTTGTGGACCGGTTTGCATCGCTGGATGCATAATCACTACTTTCGCAGGTTTCTTCCGATTCCTCGCCGGGGCGGAAGGTTTCGGGACGGCCTTGTGCTCCGGCGGCACTGTGCCGGGCTCCAAGCTCAAGGCGCCTCTTCCTTTGCCGCCACGACCGCCTCTGTTGGCACTTGCGGGGCGTCGGGGCTTGGCGGCTCCCTTCGGCTTCTTCAGGTCGCTTAAAGGGATTGCGAGCGCCGCATTTGCGTCTTCAGCCTGGCACTGTGAATTTTTCGTTCAGTAAAATCAATTCAGGAAATTAGAGAACAGAAAAAAAAATCGCACATTAAAGCGACGATTCAGATAAATACACAGAAATACAAATATTTTTTTTTTCACGCGTGTCTTGAGGCAAAAAAAGGAAATAATTTACTGTACACTTGTAAATCGTTTCATCCTAAATTCCACATAATGTTTCCAATCAGCACGATAACACTAAAAAAAACAGGAAGATCTCCAATTTCTCCCCAAATTCCCTTTCCTTTTTAAAACATGCGTTAAAACTAATTCATCTTTTTTTTCCGAACCATACCATGCAACGTTCGACAAAACCGTACATTCAAATCTTCAACAAGTAAAATGAAATATTTTTCGAAGAATTGCATCAGTAATAACCAATTCAAAATATCGTGCTTTTCCCACTTCACGCAGAAATTACGACGTACTTTTTGCATCTTTTATAGAATGGGATTCAATTCTAAGGAAAATGGTTTTCAATAATCAATTGCCAAAAAAGCAGTTCAGAAAAAATGCCACCACTCCTTAACTTCGGCGAAGATAGCTGCTCAATCTTCTCCCTCCAACGTCGTTTGTCCTAGACTCCTTTTCGCCCTCGCATAATTTGAAGCGGGTCAAAATAAGTTCAGTACATGTGATGTCAAGGTACGTTTCGGTTCAGCTACGCTGTAAAATCAAGTGTCGTTTCTAAGTAGCCTATTTGACGAATTGTGCAACCCTTTGTTCCATGCTATGTCATACAGCGAATCAGCTCTCCTTAGCGTTATAACACCAAAGTTCCGTTTTTTTAATCAGATGCGGAACCAATTCTTCGAAAATACGCGAAGTGAGACAATCGCGTAACAAGATTACCATTCAAACATAGTCCGATCACCGATAAAAAATCACATCTTTGAATCAAACCCCAACAAAGAAATGGAAAAGACAATGCTTCAGTGCTATCAACTCGAAATGATGAGAGAAAAAATCACCTCGTCCATATTGACTTGAGTTCGCAGCATTCCAGGAGACATCACAAAGCGCGTCGTTGAGTCATCACCCAACTCTTTCAAAGCGTTTTGAGGGATCAATTCAACCATCGTATGAGAGAAAAAATCACCTCGTCCATATTGACTTGAGTTCGCAGCATTCCAGGAGACATCACAAAGCGCGTCGTTGAGTCATCACCCAACTCTTTCAAAGCGTTTTGAGGGATCAATTCAACCATCGTATCAGACCCACGAGAAGACACCGCATGGTTGGTAGGGGTCGGGGTGATAATTTGGTAGGCTGTGTACTTTTCTTGTTGAGGAACATTCAGTCTCGATTCGATCGAACCCGGCTTCCCGATCGGAACAACTGAGGAAAAAATAATGAGCGATTTTGAAAACTTAAAATTGAAACAGGAATTAATTGCTCCTTTACTCTGGTCCACCCGCGACGCCTACATATAAAATAGAACCTCAATGACTCAGATTTCTCTACGTCAATTTTTTTTCATTTCTGAATTGCTTTGACAAAAAAAAACTGCATCAAAAGCTTACCCACATCAAAGCCTCCTCAAACCTCCAGAACTAAAATTTTCTGGAGCCTTTTTTGTTAATATTTTATTGACACAGGTAAGAGAAAGGCATTAAAAATGTAACTTGACGCATTTCCAAAAGAAGTGGAAGATTAATGGGCAAATAAACCCGTGCCTCCAATTGTAGCGTCCTGTCAACTCATTCAAGAAGCAATTTATAAATGTTACTTTCAGACAAACCGCTGCGTTCGTTTCATCTCAATTGGAGCAAAAAAATCAAGAGTTTCTGATTAGACGCTGAGGTAACTAATTCTTCCTTCGATTTCTTCTAGCCTCATAAAATTACATATGTAAAAAACGATTGAGATTCAAAGACTCACTTCTTTGGGAGTCCCCACTTGCAATCACGATGTGGTCCAAGGGCATGAATGTAGGCTTCTCAAGCCGAGTGGGCATATTTTGTTGAATTATCGCCCCGCGAACAGGAGACACCACCTCGGGTTTCCGTTGTGGTATGACTTGATGATATACAGACCTCGTTTGGTTGAGAAAAGCACCCTGTCCCGTCGACGCTTGACTGACAGTGGCAGTCGGGGATAAAACCCTTCCTGGACCCTAGTAATGGCACATTCAGTCGCAAAGCTCGTGTTAAATAGCGTGAACTCAAAAATTGATTCGTCACATCACGACCAATTCCGTCTCCAGAGAAATTAATGGTTATTTACGAGACAAAAAATGAACTTATTTTTCGCCATCAAGTATTGAGTGAGGATGGTCATTTTTATCAAGTCAAGCCAGAGCACAGAGATGAGTTCGTTTCCTCTTCAAGATCGCCGTTGCATAAATCCTGATTGAGACCCCTGAAGAAACCTATAGACACACATTCTATGCAAGGTATCATGAATTCACCTCAGGACAACCGGAAGTTCGAAGATAATCACAAGACTGCGTATTACAGCACTGTACTCAAGGAGAGAAATACATTTTCGCAACATGAAAGCTCATGTACTTCAGATTTCTCCGCGTGACTCATCACCATCAAGTCTGAAATTCATTTTCATTATCCATAGCAGTACTGCATACACATCATTCGATAATTAACCCTCGAGTTTTTAGCGAAGTAGAGAAAGATGATGTGCAGTAACCAACAACTTGGTGGCGACTAACACCCGTAAGTGAAGTTCACAATCGAGCACGAACAGAGAATCAAGCTTTTTGAGGATCACTATGCATCCTCCGTGAATCACTCCAAACTAAACGAAAATGCATCTTTGGTGTGGGAACACCAGACATCCAAACCGTCCACGAAGAATAAAGTGCTAAAAAGTGTCCTTTTCGGGAGTTGGTTCGCGCATAGCATCCAAATATAAAGTGTCGAAGCTAGTGGTAAGACTTAGGTTCATCAAAAACTCAAATACTGTACTGTCGAAACTCGTTACGTCGAACTTCAAGGGCCATCAAAAAATTCGAGTTGATTAGTTTCAAGTAAAAAAAACGAGCTATTTCATTCAGGAAAAGAGAGAAAAATTGCTGGACATTGTAATTGGTGATATTCTGGGCCTCACATTGTTTCTTAAATGGGTTGACCAGATCCTGACCTTGGAGGCAAGGGTTCATTTGCCCAATTAGTCTTTCACTTTCTTTCAGAACACATCAAGTTACATCTTCATTACTTTTCTCGTTCCTGCATCAATAAAATAACAGCCAAATGGCCTCCAGAAGATCCAAGTTAGAGAGGTTGTTAATGCATTGTTTCTAAGAGAATCAGGACAGAGAATTGTAAAAAAATTCGACAAAGGGAGGTTCGAGTGCATTCCGCTGGAGTATTACTTCTACGATTTTCACCGAACTTTCTGTTCTCCGAACTCAACACTGTGTTCACCATCTATCAACAAGCACCATTTCCGAGACTCACCTGATGAATATAAAGAACAGATGCACCGGGTCGCTGAGCAGGGCTGGTTGCCATTGTTGCGCCTATTCTAGATCCCACTGCGGTGGATGTCGTCAAACGCATTCTCTGTGGAGGCACCATAGCCAAGGGTTTCATTTCAGAAGAGTTGATCGTTATATTTGAAGCGGGCAATTCCGTGATTTTGTAGCCAGTTGACACTTCGACCCCGGCCTCGCTCGGTTTCGTAACGCTGTCAGAAAAGACTTCATGTTAGCATTTCCTCCATCAGACAAACAGCCGGCTTGATCGTGATCATCGAAACGAAGAGGAACAGACAATTTAATAACCCATTCAAAAAAATATAAGTTTTTTCAGTCAAAGGGACTAGGACGATTACAACAATTCAGCGTCGCATATTCAAGGAAATACAGTAAGCCAAGTTCCACAAATAGCCTCGTAGCGCACACAACGGTCAAACAAAATGTATTGTAATAAACATAGCTGAGATGGTTTGAAATCTGACCAAATATATCTTGCGCATTCGAATTTCCGTGAAAACTACAAGAGCCAACAACAGGTGCCGTGCGCAAAACGCAGGGATACAAATTTACAAAATGCTCATTGCGAGAAACGAGGACGACGTGAAACTGTTCTCTCAGTACTGCAATCGACTCCCATTCCACCAAGGGTTCATGAGTTCCAGAGGGAGCTAATGAGATCTTGATACTGTACAACAAAATTCAGAAAATATCACCAAAATCGAACTACAGTATGCTTGAAGCTTCAAACATTTAAAATTTCGAAGATTAGAAAGAAAGAAAAAACACTCCCGCTAAAACTATCACAGCGGGGATCATACGATTTCCTTCACAACCAAACTCCATACAACCATGCACGCCACTGCGGCTCAATGAAACCATGCTTGCATGAAATAAAATCGAATGTAACTTACGCAATTTGCGGGCGTATTCTCGGAGTAATGTAGCGAACTGTATCTTGTGTTAGCGTGGGGCTATTTGAAGCCAAAACTTCTCTCCCCGGCGCAAAGAAACGATGGCCCTGAGTAG